CCCCGCTGGATGCTGCCCGCAGGCCCCACCCATCGGTTCCCCCGGTCTCCTCTCGAGCCCCGTTTGTAACACACGCTCAGCTTGCTTCGCTGTGCCCCAGACTCCAGCCGGCCTTTCTTTTTATCCTGCGTTTTCCTCAAACCCCCTCCACGTAGTCCTTTCCTCAAGTCTAGATCGCTACCCTCACTTACCGGAATCCTCCCTTGAACCCCTTTTGCAGTGCCCCAAAGCTGTCCCCTCTTACACCTGTTCTAGAAACCCAGGCTCCCCACCCCCAGTGCCATCCTGGATTGTAATATCCCACTCAGGGCCTTCGTTCTTACGTTTTCCCCCTGGGTCATCTGTTTTAACTTTTCTGAAGCAAATATACTCAATTCAAATATAGGAACAAAGGCCTAAGTCCTTTCTGTGCTTATTTCTTGGGTGACTAATCTTAGATTATATCATTTAATAGATAATGTTTTGCAAAAGCGCATGTAAGCAAAGGGCAGTGCTGCTCAGCTGCTATTAATTCTCTTTCCTGATGACTAGAGAAGCATCCTCATCTAGTTGTTATCCCCCACGTTCCAAGTCCCTTCACATGTCTCACTACCTTCTTTTCAAGGTTGCAGTAAAAATTAACACAATGTGTATAAAGTACCTGGCACAGTGCTTGACACAGGAAGCCAGCTCTGTGGAGACTGCCACCTCTGACTTACAGTCAGCATTCACTCTTGTCCTTCAGCCATTTTGGTCACCCAATCCTGACATACCTTTGAGTTTGGCCAGTGCTTTGCTCTGTCACCTCTTTGCACTTTTTAAGTCCCTATCCACCCTAGCAAGTCCCTGAACTTTTACCCACCTAGAATGTTCTTCTTTAGCCCCTTGTTCTCAACTGATTCATTTTAGTTGGTGAGATATGACCCAGAAGTCCTCTCATCTCCTATAGAAGTCCACATGTCATCATCTAATTGGGAGATTCTCAGGCGATTTCTGAGGGTCCCCCCTCTCCCCATCTGAAAGAGATCTCTACCCTTAGTCTCCTGGGCAAGAAGACCACTATAATACTCTTGCTCCCTGCTGAGTCACTTGATTCAAATAACCCCCGTACCAACAAGGGTCCACTGTATGGTTTGTGGAATTGGTTTTGTAGTGGCGTTGGTTATGCCTTTCCAGTTACTAAAAAATCTTCATTGAGCATTCAGTCATAGTACCTGGGAATCTTGGAGGTGGGGAGTGAATGAATTGTCATGTAGGAGGAAGTGAGAGTAAGTGGGATGTGGCTTTTCCAGGGTGACTTCTGATGCCATTGGATCTCTGATTTTTTTTTTCCCCTCTCCCTACCCTCCTCCTGAGGAAACAATGCCCCTTTGATAATAATTTGCTTGCTGCCTGCCTGGCAAGTACTCAGCTGGGATTTCTCAGCCAACAAGACAGTACAAACACTTGTACCAAGCACCACTTTCTCGAACCCTGGCCTCACTGAGGTGATAACAACTGTCCTGCTCAAGGGATTCCCCTTCTTCCCCCTTCCTTACTCCTTCCCCCACCTCCTCTTGGTGTTATACAGGGATATCATGTCCATTTATAAGGAGCCTCCTCCAGGAATGTTCGTTGTACCTGATACTGTTGACATGACTAAGGTATGTAACTTGATGGGGGGTCGGGGGTTATTGGGAAATGGAGGGCCATAAAGTTGGTAGAGCCTAAAAGAGATGATTCAACTCACCTCTCGGATTACTTAGATGAAGAAATTCAAATAAATAAATAAGTAGAAATCAAGACCCCGGGAGAGGAAGTGTCTTGCCTGAAGTCTCATAGTGAGGTGGAACAGAGCTTTGAAGAGGTGTCTGTTACTAGGATGCCTGAAGGTACTAACTGGCTTGGAAAATCCTAGTTCATGCCTGTTGTCCAAGCTTAACTGTTTATAGGACACTCACTCTCAAAAGTGCTTCAGTTTGGATGACAAATTGTATGGTCACCCTGTCCAGTATACTGCCCAGTTCTTCCCCATCCCACCACTCTTGCCTGTAACTCTGGTACTGTAAATCAGATGCAGGGAAGGTTGGCTATAGGGCCGGCTTCACTGAAGTGCTTGTGGTTCAATGGCCTTGTTCAGGCTTCTTGCCTCAGTGGTTACTTTTAAATCCCCCTTCCACCCCCAAAGACCATCCCTCTCTTGTCCCCCACACAGAGAAAGCGTAGTGCCTAATGTCAAGTTCCTCTGCTGTAGGTATCTAGCCTTCTCTGTCCTTGAGTGCTCCGCCCTCAGAAGTGAATTGACTCCAAACTGATACTGTGAGGAAATGAGATTTCTCAAATCTAGTGTTCAAGTGAAAATTCACAGTTTCAAATACGGCAAAAATTCACATTTTTGTATTGTTGGTATCTCTTTTTTTGTTTTGAGTAAGCTTCCCTTCAAATTGATTTTTTTAAATGTAGTTGGAAATGTTTTTTCTGGACATCTTGTCTTCAGTCACTTACCCGTGTTAATACACTACTCCATGGGGCCCCCAAACTGATGCCATGTTGAAACTAGTTGAGTTTGCCATTCCAAATGAATGAGTGCTGGAATATGATCTGGATCCTTGCAGGGCTGGGACTGTAGACATTGGCATTGGATTGCCATGTCCTTTTTCCTCTTGCTGTTCAAATTCTGAGCAGGCTGAAGTGCTTAGGAGTCTTTGTAGAAGAACCATAACTGAGTTTAGCTCAGGTTTTCCTCTCTTCAGGAGGGAAAATCTTGTTCAATAATTAGAGTTTATGAAGGAAGAGAATTTAATGTTCGGTTTGGAGGGCTGCTGGTCTTTATTTTTTTTTTTTAAACCAACAATGTTGGGGAAAGTTCTGGGTTGGTCTAATGACTGAATAGACCCCGAGTCTTCCCCATTTTCAGTCAGGATGTGCTGCCTAAGCCACAGCCTTCACAGGAGGTTAGATCTTCTGCAGAGGAAGCAAGCGGATGCCCTGGGCACCTGTCACACCCCTTGGCTCTGCTCTGGCACTGATGCTGTGGCCTCTAGTCTCTGTCCTCTTTTTCTTTTTGTTTCATCTCCCCCTTGTGCCACATAAAGGTAGGGTGGAGTTGTATTATATGCATGTTTGGCCTAGGAAAATCCACACATACATACTCAGTAAGCATCTGTATTGATTTCTTAAAGTTAGAAATGCTAGGATTAAACCAGGCATGGTGGCTCACACCTGTAATCCCAGCACTTTGGGAGGTAGAAGTGAGAGGATTGCCTGAGCCCATGAATTCAAGACCAGCCTGGGCTACTTGGTAAGACCTCATCTCTACAATAAATCAAAAAATTAGCTGGATATGGTGCCACACACCTGTAGTTCCAGTTACTGAAGTGGAAGGATTGCCTGAGCCCAGCAGATTGAGGCTGTGGTGACCGTGAGCGTGCCGTTGCACTCCAGCCTGGGCAACAGAGTAAGACTCCGACTCCAAAAAAAGAAAGAAAGAAATGCTAGGATTATATTTTACAGACGCACATTATTCTATTTTCCACATTAGTGTTTATCAATTTGTTATGCATAACAGCCATCAGGGAGGTCCACACAGCAACCATGCTGTAAGGGAGTTTTAAGGGATGTCAAGGGTGATTTTGACTAGATTCAGTTTTCACCTAGGGCTCCAACTTTAGGAGTAACCCCTGAGTAAGATGTCACTCCACTATAATGGGATTTTTTCAAAATTCCAAACCTGTGTGTCAGTATGAGGACAGGGTGTTCATTCTGCATGGTGAGGGTACAGAACATGTATACCAGACTCTGGGCCCTGCTTCTGGCGTGGGTAGCAGGTGGCAGCCAGGAGGGGTGGGGCGGGGCATCACCTCACAATTTTGAGATGGGGTTTTATTTTGCAGATTCATGCATTGATCACAGGCCCATTTGACACTCCTTATGAAGGGGGTTTCTTCCTGTTCGTGTTTCGGTGTCCGCCCGACTATCCCATCCACCCACCTCGGGTCAAACTGATGACAACGGGCAATAACACAGTGAGGTTTAACCCCAACTTCTACCGCAATGGGAAAGTCTGCTTGAGTATTCTAGGGTAAGAGGAGACTTCTAAGTAGCTAAGTTGGTTGTTAGCAAATATTACTGTAGGCCAGCCTGTATCAACCAGGGTTCCACATCAGAACACAGAAAATGATTGAGTAACTCTTCCCAATTCTCCCCGAGGATGATACAGGACTAGTATCATTCTAGATGCAAAGGAAAGTTAATTTGTTGCATAATAGTGGATGCCTTGTGAACTGATTCTCAAAGCGTGATCCCTGAGCAGCGGCAGCATCTGGGAACCTGTAGCCGTGCAGATTTGGGGGCCCCACCCTAGACCTCCTATATCAGAAACTCTGGGGTTGGGGCCAGCAATCTTTTCTTTAGGCCCTCCAGGTGATGGTGGTGCACACTCCAGCTTAAGAACCATGCCTTTGGGGGCCTGAGGGCCCACTCCTCCAAACAGGTTGAAAAAGGCTGCAGACTGCCATTCAAGACTGTGTGCAACTTATTTCTGAGTCTCTCACTGAGTGACTTTGGAGGTGGTGGTGGTGGTGAGGATTATGATACTTTAACAGTTGAATGACAGATGTCTGAGATTGGAAATCAGGTCAAATGTGAAACAAAAGGTTGTGGAGTTCCCATTCATTCCCTTTTAGTTGCCTTTGGGGGTTAAAACTCAGCATGGAAATATCTTCTAGCATGTTTTGGATTGGTCCTTTTATTGTGGTCTGAATTTCCCTGGGGCAGAGAACAAGTGCAGGTCGAAGTTGAGAAAGTTGCCCAAACTGGTGATCCTGTTTCCTTCCTGTCTGACACAATACCAGGTTTGTGTGCGGGAAGGGCGGCTGAAATGAGCAGGAGACGTGATTCCTTTTCTAGAACTTTTCTCAGATCCAGAGGTAGGTTTTGCTATGATTGGGGCAGTGAGGAAGTCCTTTAACAGAGGTTGTCCTTAAAGTTGTCCTTCATCTCATTAGGGTGTTTCATTGTCTGTGCTGGCAGGATAGAAACCACAGTGGTCAGGAGAGCTCATCATTGCTTCTGGAGGAAATTTGTTCATGAAAGGGTTTTTAGTAGGTTCTCCTTCATTCAGTCAGTGTAAAACTCTTCTGAGCAAACACCCGCTCACAGGAATGGGGAAGTGAGATGTGGATAAAAGTAGTAGAAGTGTGTTGGGTAAAAAGGAGAACTTGCCGTGAAGAGTCACAGAGCAGAAAATTCTCATGTGTGCTCAGTTGACTGTACTGGCTTGATCAGCCTCATTCCTTCCCTCACTACCTAGAAGACAACATTGGGCTGTCTCACTGAAAAAGAAGCTTCATGGGAATTGGCCCTGTCCTGATGCCTTAGAGAGCAGTGGGTCCAGAGGTCTGGGGAGCAGAGCTGAGAGGAGCATGGGCTGAGAAGCACCAGGAGCAGCCCTGATGAAGTCACTGATTGATACACATCAGTTGGGCTTTCCTCAAGTACAGCAGGGAGAGGGAAGTGGCCAATTAACTTGAACAAGCCAGGCCTGGCTCAGGTTGTGTTCAGCTTCCAGCTCCGGTGCCATCTCTTCAATTAATTGAGCTAAAAATAAATGTCATTAACATCCAAGCTGCCGCCTCCCCCTAATATTTGATCAGGTTTATGAAAGAGAGGAGCAACTTCGGTGTTTCTCATCGTGTTCAAGATGTTGTGCATGTATTATTTTCAGACGCTTCACTGTTTGGAAGCACCCCATGTCTCTTCCTGTCCTCTGGCAGAGTTGTGAGGTCTTCAAAGAATTTGTTGCTCCTTGGGGGCTTGATACAGAACTAGATCCCTGGTGTCCGTCACCCTCCATGTGGCCTCTAGCCTGATGGCTCCAGTCACCTGTGTGCCTCGATGCTCAACCTCTCTTTCCCCTCACAGACTCCATCACCATCCATAAATGAGCTTCTTGGGATCCACAGAGGTTAACATTTAGACAACCTTTGGAGCTGTTTGCTTACCTTTTTTCCTTTGTTTTGATTATTATAACTTTCCCTGGCTACAGTTTCTTTTTCAGCCCAAAGAAAATCCTTTCAGAGTTATATTGCTTGCTCTGCCCTCTTCTCCTTTGTACCTCCTGATGAGAGGATTAGGCAGTTGACCGATTTCTGGGGAATGAGGGTGAGACAGGGACTAGGAAATTCCAGAGTATTAATAGTGAAACAGAAACTTATGGTGAGTTACGTATAGTGGTGCTGCTAGGCCCAGGGGACTTGTTCCCTGGTCCTTCTCCACCTCACGCTCCTCCCTTCCCTCTGATGTGTTTGCAGCACGTGGACAGGACCTGCCTGGAGCCCAGCCCAGAGCATCTCCTCCGTGCTCATCTCTATCCAGTCCCTGATGACCGAGAACCCTTATCACAATGAGCCTGGCTTTGAACAGGTAAGGACAGGTGGGCCCAGCTCCAGGGTGCAGAGTAGTAAGTATTTTAAGAGATCTTACTAGTCAGGCATGATGGCTCCCAGCACTTTGGGAGGTGAAGGCGAGAGGATTGCCTGAGCCCAGGGGTTTGAGACCAGTCTGGGCAACTAGGTGAGACCTCATCTCTACAATAAACCAAAAAATTACCTGGGCATGGTGACTCATGCTTATAGTTCCAGCTATTTGGAAGGTTGAGGAGGAGCAATCACCTGAGCCCAGCAGGTCGAGTTTGTGGTGGCCATGAGCTCCAGCCTGATTGACAAAATGAGATTCTAACTCAAAAAACAAAACTTATTCCTTGACCCATCCTTTCCAAACAAATAGTATATCTCATTTCAGGAGGAGGAAGGTAGTGGAAATGGATCTCATTGGTTAAACGAGGAGCTGATTTTTAGGTCTTTTCCCCTTTTTTTGGTAGCGGGCAACACTTCATTCTGTAAAATAGAATACAAGTTCCCAGATCTTATTTGGAAATTTAAGAGATGTGACTTAATTCTCTAAAACATTCTTGGTTCACAGCACCCTTAGTGTCTCATAGTTTTTTCCCAATTAACTGGGCACGGTGACTCACACCTGTAATCTCAGCACTTTGGGAGGCGGAGGCAAGAAGATTGCCTGAGCACAGGGGTTTGAGACCAGCCTGGGCAACATGGGAAGACCTTATATCTACAAAAAAAAAAAAAGTAAAATAAATTAGCTGGGAGTGGTAGCATGTACCTGTACGTCCAGCCACTTGGAAGGCCTAGGCAGAAAGATTGCCTAAGCCTAGTGGGTCGAGGCTCTGGTGGCTATGAGCATGCCGCCACACTCCAGCCTGGGCAACATAGTGAGACTCCAACTCAAAAAAAAAGAAGAAACTTCCATTTATTTATTAAACAACGGTAATTACTTAATATAATGTGTATACCTATTGAGCACTGCACAGCTTTTTAAATCTTGGAATCAGATAGGCCTCTACTACCCCTATTTCCTGTCCTCCACTGTTTTCATGTGCTGCTTGTTTTTTCTTACAACAATGGCTGAAAATCTAACTTCACAAAGATAGTATGCCATTGAACAGAATATGGTACAGTTTAATGTGAAAACTGAACTATGAATCTCAAGCTAGTAGTGTGCATGGTGTTTGATGGGTGTTGGATATTGTTGTTTTCTTTAGAATTTTAGAATATCAGCCGAGTGCAGGGGCTAATAACTGTAATCCCAGCACTTTGGGAGGCTGAGGCAAGAGGATGCCTGAGCCTACGCGTTGGAGACCAGCCTGGGTAACATGGCAAAACCTTGTCTCTACAATACATTTAAAAATTTAGCCGGGTGTAGTGGCATGTGCCTGTAGTTCCAGCGACTTGTAAGGCTGAAGCAGAAGCAGGCTGATCCCAGCAAGTCAAGGCTGTGGTGGCTGTGATTGTGCCACTGCACTCTAGCCTGGGCAACAGAGTGAGACTCTGAATCAAAAAATAAATAAAAAGTTTAAAGCCGGGCTTGGTGACTCAACCTGTAATCCCGTGCCTTGGGAGGCTGAGGTGAGTGGATTGCCTAAGCCCACGGGTTCGAGACCCGCCTGAGCAACTTGGCGAGACCTCATCTCTACAATAAATAAAAAAAAAAAAAGTTAGCCAGGTGTGGTAGTGCGTGCCTGTAGTTCCAGCTACTTGGAAGGCGGAGGCGGAAGGATCGCCGCAGCCCAGCAGGTCAAGGCTGGGTGACAGAGTGAGACTCCAACTCAAAAAAAAAAGTTTAAAATATCCCACTGTCCCCTATGATTTTGCTCCGGTGCAGTTTGGGGACCAGGCAGTGAGCTGGAGGTATATATTCTTTCCTGGTCATCAGATGTTTCTTTCAGGGGCCAGGACTCGTCACTTTTTTTGGGGTTGATGGAGAGAGAAAAACGAAGAGAAAAACAAAGTAGAGGAGGAGGTCATACTCCCTTTCAGCCACACTCACACGTTCATGTTCACTTTCTAGACCAAAGGTGGAGGTTTTTTGTTTTTTGGTGTGTTTTTTTGTTTTAAGTTTGGGCCATTGCTTTGTTAAATTATGATGCATCCACATGGCTCCTTGAGCTATGGTCACCATGTTTGCTTAGCTTTGGCCTCCTCCCCTCCCTTGGGAAAGTGAATCAGTCTCTCTCTCTTTTACTTTTTAAATAAACTTTGCTTGAAAACTTTAAAAATAGATGAATTTTAAGTTCTACTTTTATTTTTAAATTTTTATTTCAGTGGACTTCTGATATGTTTATAATAGTTGGTTTGATGATGGTGGAACCTTACAGACATGACATGTGACATGTAAAGGAGTCAACCAGGAAGCATCCTTTAGGTGCTGTTGTCTAAGGTTTTCTATATAAGACTCCTAAAGTCATTCATCCATTTTTTCCCTCAATTTTTCTTTGTTTTTTCCATTTTTATTTAAGATTCAGTGGGTACACGTGCATATTTGTTGCATGGACATTCTGTGTAGTGGTGGGGGTTGGATCTCAGGTGGCCCATTCTGCAGATAGTGAACATTGTACCCAATACATAATTTCTGAACCCTAGCCTCCTCCTTCCCCTTCCCCTCCCCCCTCTCCCTTTTTTTTAAGAGACAGAGTATAGGCTGGCCTTGAACTCCTGGGCTCAAGTGATCCTTCTCAGCCTCCCAAGTTGCTGGAAGTATATGTGTGCACCACCATGCCCGGCATCCCCACCATCATTCTCATGTTTAGTTATTTCCCATTTGATTTTTACTGGATAGGCCTTTTACTTTAGATTCAGGACAATTTGATGCACCTAGTTTACTGGCTATAGGTCAAACGGCCTGTAGCAGGGGATAGGTGTTGATACATTTGGAGGGAGGGGAAATGGTCTCCGAAATAAAGGTGTAGTTGTTTTTTGTGGGTCTGCCATACAGTGGGAAAGGCATGCTCTTTTTTTTTTTTTTTGAGTTGAAGTCTCACTCTTGTCACCCAGGCTGGAGTGCATTGGCATGCTCACAGCCACTGCAGCCTCAATCTGCTGGACTTAGGTGGTCCTTCTGCCTTAGCCTTCCAAGTAACTGGAACTGCAGATGCACGCCACCATGCCCAGCTAGTTTTTGTGATTTATTTTAGACACAAGGTCTCACCAGGTTGTGCAGGCTGGTCTCGAACCCCAGGCTCTGGCAGTCCTCTTGCCGCAACCTCCCAAAGTGCTGGGATTACAGGCTGAGCCACTGCGCCCAGCCAAAAGACATGCTCTTAGTTTATGTGTGGAGAAAGCACATGCCTCATAGTAATCCTGAAGTCTCTTCCCGTTGCTTTCTCTTCTCCTAAATTTTATATTTGGGTACTCTGGCATCTGTCACATTACAGGAGAGACATCCAGGAGACAGCAAAAACTACAATGAATGTATCCGGCACGAGACCATCAGAGTCGCAGTCTGTGACATGATGGAAGGAAAGTGTCCCTGCCCTGAACCCCTACGGTATGTGTCAAGAGAGCTTGCTTGGTATTCATTCCTTTGGGAGACTTGGGTGGTTTGTACCCATGACGGCCTTTGGGGCAGAGTCCAGCGTTGGACACCAGAGGGAGATAGAGAAGAAGGTGGCTGAGAGCTATCCAAGAGGAAGTTCTGAGAACTCTGTCCTTGGAGAGTGCAAGCCACTGGGAAAGGCAGTCCCCGCCCTTAGGGAGCTTCCAATTCGGTGACGGCTTGGATATACTCTGTCCTATAGCCAGATACAGTGTAGAGCACTTCATGATAAATCTGTTTCTTCATGTTCAAGTTTATTTAAGTGTCAAAACTAGATAAACAAAGTCAAAGTTATTTTTTCTTTTTCATTGTCAATATTTAATAAAAACAAGCTGGGCTCGGTGGCTCAGCCTGTAATCCCGCGCTTTGGGAGGCTGAGGTGAGTGGATTGCCTGAGCCCGTGGGTTCGAGACCCGCCTAGGCAACTTGGCGAGACCTCATCTCTACAGTAAATCAAAAAATTAGCCGGCGTGGTAGTGCGTACCTGTAGTTCCAGCTACTGGAAGGCTGAGGCGGAAGGATCGCTGGAGCCCGGCAGGTCGAGGCTGCAGTGACCGGGAGCGGCCACTGCACTCCAGTCTGGGTGACAGAGTGAGACTCCAACTCAAAAATAAATAAATAAATAAATAATAAAAATAAAAACAAACTCATGGTTAATTAAATTCTGGAGAATTTTGAATAAAGTTTGGGATTAGGGATGGCATATGAAAAAGTTGAGGTTGAGCATTGAAATTGGGATTCAAATGGTGAGTGTTCAGTCAGTCTGGTTTTATAAATCCCAAAGTGTAGAGGAAGTCAGCCATGGACAGTCAGCTCTTCCTTTTTCCAATTTCCATATGAAGATTTTTGTGGGAGACCAAGCCAGCCTTGGGAAATCTAGTGGTTTAATTTGGCATTAAGGTTGGGTGCTGTCCTTCTCTGCTCTTTTCCAGAGGAGTGATGGAGAAGTCCTTCCTGGAGTATTATGACTTCTATGAGGTGGCCTGCAAAGATCGCCTGCACCTTCAAGGCCAGACTATGCAGGTAACACAGCCCTTGCAGCTCATCCAGAAGCCCTGTAGCAGACCATGTAAAGTCCACCTCCAAGGGTGATGTTCATACCTCTCACTGAATATCACAGCTGAAAGGAGCCTTGTCTAATGTCATACAGAGTTGTTTCTACATTTCTGGCATAACATAGGCCTGAAAGTAGAATCTAAGTTGCCATTCTACTTTGGAACTTCTTGGCCAGTAGTCTTTTCAAGCCAAGAATATTCAGCCCTTCCAGAAGCTTAGGGATTATGAGAGTCATTTTTGGAATTCTGTCCCTAGCTCTGAGGGATTCTCATAGAAAAGGTGGTTAGAGAACAGTGGATGTGCAGTGTCACGTGTTGAAAGATCCCTATTTCAAGGATAATAACCAGGTGTTCATTCTTTGCCTCTACTGGGAAAATGTAATCTTGCTTCTAGTAAGAATGCAGAACTTAGACTTCTTTTAAGGAAGAGGTTCAGCCAGCACAGTGGCTCACACCTGTAATCCCAGCACCTTAGGAGACTGAGGCAGGCAGATTGCTTGTGGCCAGGAGTTTATTGAGACCAGCCTGGGCAACACAGCAAGACCACTGTCTCTACCAAAAAAAAAATTTTTAATATTTTAATTTCTTAAAAAAAAGAAGAGGTTCTCATTGACCAAATTGTAATAAACTTAAATGTAAATGACCTGGTGGGTAAAGGGTGAGAACTCTGTTCTGGAGGATCGGTTCTTGTGTGTTTGGGTCATTTACTGATGGTCTTGCATATTAGAGATGGGGTGACTAAGATCTCTGAAGCCTCTCTACAGCTCTTGAGCTGTTTCTACCCACCCTCCAACACCAATAGCAGGAGTAGATAGATGACTTTTCCTTTGGAGTTGCTTACAAATAGTGGCTTATCTGTCCTTCCTTCAAGGACTTTCTACCCACCTGCCTCATTTAAGCTCAGAGGGCAAGGCAGGCTCAGGCTAAGTTTTTTCCTGAACCCTTTGGAGTATATGGATGATATGTGTATGCCCTAGTCTGTTTCCCATCAGGAATTTTCTCTGCTGGTGTCCTGCAGCATCACCAGGAAAATCAACTGGTGATGAGGGATGGGCAGGAGGGGCAGTGACTAGGGAGGAGGAGAATGAGGGGAAGCGGAGCCGAGGATGAAAGGAGGAAGATTTGCAGAATTGACAGCTCCAAAGCCGATGTGGAGCTCAGCCTTCTGGGCATGTGGCCCCATGAGTGAGAAGCACCCACTGGCACCCAGCTCACGAGGAGGTTGATGTGTGGGTAGAGGTGTGGAAGGAATTTTTGAGAAAAGCAAACAATGTGAGAGGGAAAATCGTGTACCTTTTTTGAGACTGACAAGGAAAGCGGTCTCTACTTGTTTGAGCCAAGACCTTGCTACTTTGCTACTGAAGTCCCTAGGTAGTATTTTAAACTCTTCTTTTTTTTTTTTTACCGTCCACCCAACCATAGTTGTTTTTGAGCCTTTGAGGACAGTTAAACCTTTCTATGAACTATTTGGAGATCTTTGTTTAGAATGGCAAGGACTAAGATCCAAGGCTAGGTGGCCCTGGAGCAGTGCCCAGAAACCTGGACTGGATGTAGTGACCAGTCCCTGGGGAAGAGTACAGGTGCTTATCTGGAGTTCTAGACCCGCCTTGACCTGAGAAAAGCAAATGACCATTTTTGAGTGTAGGGAAGGAAGGACATTTATCCCTTCTGTGGCTTTTAAGAGGTTAACTAATAACACGCACTTCATGATGACAGTGCTGGTGCTGGGTGTCTCACCCTCACTGTGCCCCCTTCTGTGTCTTGGCTGGTTTTTGAGGAATACAAACACATTTTTACTTCAGCCCAAGCTAGGCCTATTTGGGACAGTGAGCTGCTGTGATCTCCCTGAGCCAAGGTTGTGTCTTCTGCTGTTCAAGGCCACCTGTCTGCTGTGCCCTCCTCTGCCCTGCAGCTCAGAACTGAGCTTGCATTTCCCATGGGCCTGAAGCTGCTCTTCCTAGGGTGAGCCACCTGAACTTGAACCTCCATGCCCATCTCCTTTCCCCACAGGACCCTTTTGGAGAAAAGCGGGGCCATTTTGACTACCAGTCCCTCCTGATGCGCCTGGCACTGATTCGGCAGAAAGTGCTGGAGAGGCTCCACAATGAGAACGCGGAAATGGACTCTGATAGCAGCTCATCCGGGACAGAGACAGACCTGCACGGGAGCCTGAGGGTTTAGACCCTGCTCCCTCTCCCCCCGACTCGAGAGCCCTAGCAGAATCCCTCCCCTACCCCAGGGATGGAGAGGCACTGTGTATCTCCCTGCAGACTTGACATCATCCCGCAAGATGGCAAGAACCAAGCAAGCTCGGATCCCAGGGTGTGGGTGTGGGGGGCGTTCTCGTCTGACCTCCTTGGCACTGGAGCATCTGGGGCTACTACATCCCATGTCAGGGGCCAAGGTACCTTTGCGGGAGCACCTGGGCGAGGGCCTCTGGCAACAGCACAACCAACACACCTCTCCACAGGGCCAGCTCCTTAGGGGTCGGTGGAAGACAGAAACTGCAGTTCCAAGAGGGAGTGTGCCCAGATGATTTGTGGGGATACCGGAAGGGAGCTTGGGGTGGGGGGGCTGTCCGTGACACTTAAACAGTCTGGGTGGTTGTCTGTTTGTCTTCAGCCTTTTGAAGCAGGGCTTCCCAATGCCCTTTCCTCCCTGCCTCCCGTCCCACGTTATTCCCCACAGGCCAGCATAATTTTGTTTTTCCTAATTTATAGTCACTGTTCTAGACAGACCAAAGAGAAGGAACAGTGGTGGAGTCTCGGCTGCTGATGAGTAAGCTTTACCTGGCACCTGAGCACCTTTCTCCCTGCCCCCCTCCCCTTCTAGATGTAAGGAGGTCACTGTGACTGGGACTGAACCAAGGTCTTGGTCAGGCCTGCACAGGCACCGTAAGAAGCTGAAAAGACTGTTCTCTCAATCACTGATTTGAAAAGTTCCCAGCACAGGCAGCTGCTGCATGTATGGGATTAGAGCCACCATATACAAGAGTCTCTTGTAGGTTTCCATAAATACTAATCGCAGTGAGGGTGTTTCTGGCTAGGTGGAGCATGGGGAAGGCTGATGCTAATCCTTACTGTATCTTGGTGGCTGTCCTTGTGCATTTTCACCCCAGCCCGGACTTGCCCTCCTCACTTCACCCCAGGGATTTGTGGGGAGCAAAGGTAGCCAATGGCAGGAGGGGACTTGGGCTGGGACTCTGGGGACTCCTCCCCTTCTCTCCTCCCCCACCCCACCCCCAGCTGCTCTTTGTCACTGGCTCTGACAGGTGTTTGCCTGGCCATGTTGCTTCTCTATCTGTATTTAGCTGCAGTGATCCTTTAGCTGGTTGGCTCAGAAAATGTGCTTTAGATGCCCTGTGATCCTGGGCATCAAGGGACTCCATCCTTCCCTTTTGATGTCTTCTCCCCTACTTCCAGATTTATCCTTATGCTCCCAGTGGGGCCTTGGTGATCCACGTGACACAAGGCCTCAGTCAGTATCCAGCCACGCGCAAGGGAGAGGATAGTGTGTACCTGCCCTGCCCACTGCTGGGAAGGTCTGCCTTGTGGGTCATGGGACTCCCCTGAGGAGGAGGGGGACTGGGCGTAGAGGAGATTGTCCTACCTGGAATGGCAAGAGGCAGAGATGCTGGACAGGGAGGGGCGGGCTTGGGGAACGGAAGTTTATCTTTGATTTCTGAAAGCTGGGTCTCTTCATGTGGAGACTCCAGAAGGGACCTTGCTTCCAGTCTCCCTCCTCCATTCCTGGAGTTAGTCCAGGGCTTAGAAGAATGCCCTTGGTCTGTGGGTCCAGTGTTGTCTGTCATCCATTTAAGTGTTCCCACTTTCAAGTGACAATCCTCTCCTTGGTCCTGCCATGGGGCAGAGCATGTCTGGCTTAGCAGCCTGACTTTTACGCCCTACTCTTGAGTTGAGGAAATATATGCACAGGAGTCAAAGAGATCTCTTTATATCTGACTGTACATAAATGACGTTTTTTTTTTTTTTTCCTTTTTGGTGCAATAAAGTTTGTTTTGGCAGAAGGAGGAAGTGCCTGTGGGTGTGGGAGGGCTTGTGTAAGGAATGGGATCATCTCGTCCACTACAACTCACCTGGGAACTGTCAGGAAGAAGGAAAGTAAGTGCTCAGTGAGTTACCTGGAAGCTGAAGGCTTGGGTTACATTCTGGGAGGGTGGGAGTCTGGGGGAGAGAGGACCACTGGCGACATTTTCTACCAGTTGGAAACGGGGCATATATTTTGAGACTATGGACCCAGAATGCCATCTTGGTCTCAGTAGCTTCCAAAGAAACACCTATCCCAAAGTGTTGGGCAGTGAGCATGCCCTATGAGGACAGGCTGAGGTAGAGGTAGGCCCAGACTATCACCTGCTAAGGGAAGTGTCTCAGGATGGAAAAGTTGTAGCAGTTTCCAGCCCTAAACCAACACTTCCTAGGAATTTAGCAGTTGGTCCATGAAGACAGGGAGCCTTGATTCTGGCCTTCCCTCCTCATTGTTACAGGAGAGTCTTGCTTCCTGGTGCAGAGGCTGTTCTTGGCTGACCATGTGTGTAGAAAGAAATGTCCAGACACACTATGTCCTGCCACTAATGTGCAAAGCGACGATAAGGGCCTGCATGGGCTCTGGCTCTGCTGAAGCTGGCGGCCCCTGTGAAGTTAAGGCTACCTACATAAATTCTTTTAAAATATGAACTTTGGTTATTGTTTGACTCCCCTCAAATTCCATCATTCTCTTTCCTCAAATTTAACCACCGTTTACCACTGACTTGTTTCCTTCACACAGCCAAGTCTAACTGGAGCCTCCACAGAGGAAGCTGGAAGAGACTAAAGAGTGAATATTATTTACTGGTCCATTAGGGCCTGCTAGTTGAGATAAGGAGCATTTTATAAGGAAGATTGAATTTGTAGAGGCTGTAATTTATGTCCCGCAGCTACAAGACTAGACCCTCAGACCAGGAAACAGCCTGCATTCTAGGCCCAGCCCTCCCAGGAACTTTTAGGTGACCTCCACGAGGCGTTTTATACGTGCTTGCTGTTACCTGTATTAACTGGATTATCCTTACTGGATAAATTAGGTTTTCTCCAATAAAGATGCAATGTGAAGACATTTCTAAGAAATAAAATGTTGGGGGAAGAAAGAAGACCTTGGAACTTTTTTCTATTTTTTTTATAAACAAAACTACCCAGGTTTATTTGCCAGTAGGCCCTCCCCGCTCCCTGCCTGGTGCCGTTTGCCCTTCCACTTGGCTAGGGGAGGGCTTCTCTGGCCTCCTCAGCAGTAATCTCCTGGGAGTAGAGGTCAGTGAAGAGAGCTGGCAGCCAGTAGTGGGCCTCCCCCGGGGCCTGCAAATCCAGCCAGGCCAGTCCTTCCTTCAGCAGGTGTTCCTGGAGTTGGAGAAGGAAGGAAGAATGACTTGAGAAAGGGGAGGTCCTGTAGACAAAGTAGGCTAGATAAGCAGTCCCCACGCCTAGTCTGGCTTCAGTGAGGTTTTCAAAGTCCTTCAAACTGAGTGCCTTCATACAGTTACACAACCAAAATGCAAGGATCTCTTTAGCTTTGTCTTTTGAGGTGTGAGAAATGCCACCAAGTCATTTAACTTATGCTGCTGGGGAAGTAGGTAGGCCCGGCACAGTGGGATGTTGAAAGAATGTAGAGCTACAGAAATACTTGCTGTGTGGCCTTGAGCAAATCACTGCCTCCATTTCTCAGAAGCAAAATGGAAGTTACTGTGCTAGCCGCTTCTGAGTTAACTTCCTGAGCAACAGATATGACAGGCCACATTTATATGAGAATGGACTCAGTTCTGTTCCTACAGCTGGAAATGCACTCAAGATGGGTTGGTTCTGTCCAGTAGGTAGCTAACCATGTTGGCCCCATTTTACAGATGAAATTCCATTCAGATAACAACTGCTTGGATAAGGAAACGATATGGAAGCCAGGAATCCCACATCCTCATGCTGCTCTCTTCACACAAATCATGAGTCCCATGAAATCTGTACGTATAAAACCATGTACTACAAGATATGCAGTAGAACACTGTACAATAATAGATACATAACTATCATAATGGTTACTAATTCCCTCCGCTCGGCACTAACTGTCACTTCCAGTACAAACTATGTCAACCCCCTGAGTGGCCACGTCAGGCCCCAGGTGTTCAGGAGAGTGAGTGGGTGTCGGTGGGTCCCGGGAACAGTGGCAGCTTCGTGTGACATGTGTGCAGGGCTTGAGGCCTGTCTCTGTGAGTCCTGCCTCCTCAGGGCCATCTCCAGGGACATGGTGAGCTCCCTTCTAGCATGGCAGCAGTAGCCTTCAAGGCAAGAGGTCAGCCAAGTGAGGCTGAAGCTGCTGCCTCTGGGGAACCTCTTCACCTACCTCCTCCCAGCCAGGGCCCATCTTTTCTGGGCCATTCCAGAGTCACATACCAGCACTTGCCGCGCTCTCTCAGTCTCCCATTTAAGACTGGTTTTGATTTCACTGACAGTCACATAGCCATTTTTCTAAAGAAAAGCAGAATGGGGACTGAGTCAGTTAAGAATGCACTTTCCCTTAGAACCCAGCATCTGCCCGGGAACAACAGACACATAAAAACAGGAGGGAGGGCTGCCCTTGGGCCAAACCCAAAGAGAGCACAGAAAAAGAATGTTTGAAGTTCCCAGCAAAGACAGAGAGCAAACTAGATATGACTCAGAATGACATGGATTGGTGGGTTCAGTATGAAAAAGTGGGGTCCCTGGTATGAAGATACTGAGTTAGACTTCTGAAGAGAACTCTGGAGCATAAAAAAGGAAGATTCAGAATGGTTCACTGATGGGAAGGAACAGTGGTACTCATAAACTTAAAATCTAAAATAAGTATTCAGCTCTTGCCTGGCCTCACCCTACCCATCCCCAGTATAGAAAAGCCCATATTTAGTTTTGTTTTACATTATAAAGAAAACAGAGCATGTTTTCCCTAAACACGTGATGGGGATTTGGGAATGCTGAGGGCTGGGGGATTGCAAACATTTGTAAGAATCTGTTTTGAAGAATCCATAAAGAAGTTTCAGAATTCATAGAAGAGTCTGTTTTTCCAAGGAAATACAGTGAGTTGTCTGCATGACTGTCTACCTGACAAGACTGTAAGCTCCTTGAGGGCAGGAACGATATCGCACCTATCTTTCTATGTCCACAGCCTGGCCCAGTGCTTTGCACCGTAGCTGCTCAATAAATGTCTGCTGAACAAGCACAGGCCTGAGGAGTTCATCCATAAGACAAACTCAGGCAAAGACCTGAGTCATGGGAGGCAGGGCTCAGGACTGCTCCAGACTTCCCTCGCAGACAGGTCCCTGCATGCGCGCGCACGCACACACACACGCACGCTCTCAGCAGGCGCGCCAGTACCTCTGCCAGCTGTAGCACCACAGTGTGATCCATATTGAGCTCAGCTGGAACAGACTGAATGAGGTAAGTGCCGCCCACAGGGATGATGCCGAAGCCAGTGCCAAGTGCCTTTAGTTTCTTGATGGCCCTGATCAGGTCGTCTCTGAGGTGAGGAAGAGCTGCTTTAGGACCCTTGGTAGATCAAACCCAACAGCGGTTTCAGCTCAGCCCTGCGAAGGGCACGCTTGCAGAAGACACAACAGCCTGCACAACACTTAACTATGTCAGCAGAAAGGGCTAAAGGGACCAAGCAGTGCTTGGTTACTCAAGTCAGGCTCTCCACTCAGCAAGTCACTTGCTCCAACCCCCAGAGGTCAAGGATATGCCCACAGGAGCCTATCAGAAATGTGAACAAGTGAACTGAATAGGGAGTGGTGTAAACCGTAGCAAGCTAGAGTGGTTATCTTTGTTAATGGGGACAATTTGGAAATTCAGGTCCAGTACTGCCAAGTTTTCTAATTTCTTAGTTGACAACCAACTCAAGAGAAGGAAAAAACTTGCCTGGTGTGGTGACTCACACATGTAATCCCAGCACTTTGGGAGGCTGAGGTGGGAGGAATGTTTGAGCCCAAGAATTTAAGATCAGTCTGGGCAACATGGCAAGACCTCATCTCTACAAAAATATCAAAAAAATTAGCCGAGCACGGTGGCACATGCCTGTCGTCCCAACTACTTGGGAGGCTGAGGTGGATCACCTGAACCCTGGAGATCGAGGTTGCAGCGGCCGTGATCATGCCACTGAACTCCTGCCTGGGCAACAGAGTGAGACTCCGACTCAAGAGAAAAAAAAGAAGAAAACTCACAAAACAATGAGTAGATCATAAATCCAGCTCACACATGGTTTACAACCTCTGCCAAAGTTCAAACATATATCGCCAAACCAGTGAGGGAAACGGGGACTACCAGGTAGATTAGAACGCTTTCTCCAACCCCCTGGAGGAGCAAATGAAAATCGGTTTCAGGCTGGATGCAGTAGCTCAAGTCTGTAATCCCAGCACTGTGGGAGGCCGAGGCGAGAGGATTACATGAGCTCAAGAGTTTGAGACCAGCCTGGGAAACTTGGTGATACCTTGTCTCTACAATAAATCAAAAAATAAGCCAGGTGTGGTAGTGAACGCCTGTAGATCTAGCTACTTAGAAGGCTGAGTTGGAAAGATCACCTGAGCCCAGTGGGTTAAGGCTGCGGTGGCTGTGAGCATGCCACTGCACTCTAGCCTGGGCAATAGAGTGAGAATCCAACTCAAAAAAAAAAAAGCCAGGCTAGGTGTCTCAAGCCTACAATCCCAGCACTTTGGGAGGCTGAGGTGAGAGGACTGCCTAAGCCCACGGGATTGAAACCAGATGAGGCAAGACCTCATCTCTACAATAAATAAAAAAAATTAGTTGGGTGTGGTGGCATGTGCCTGTAGTTCCAGCTACTTGGGAGGCTGAGGTGGAAGGATCTCCTGAGCCCAGTGGGTCAAGGCTGTAGTGGCCATGAGTGTGCCACTGTACACCAGCCTGGGGGACAGAGTGAGACTCTGACTTAAAAAAAAAAAGTGTATATAACCCCAGTTTTTAGAAAATAATATGAAAAGATGCCTAGAAAAAAATATACCAAAATGTGTTGTAATGGTCATAATCTCCTAGTTGAGAAATAATGGGTTTTTATTTTATGTCTCTGTGTTTTCAGTTTTCTAAAATGAAAATACATTTTTTTCCTGATCATACAGGTTCCTAAGCTAGCCTAGACATAAGAGGGTAAGGGAGAAAAGATTGTCATCTGATGTTGAAAACCCTCTCTAGACTCCCAGGGGCTAGAAGGCAACACCTACTGGCTGACGTCCTGAGCAAACTTGCCCCTTCCTTTTAGCACCTGTTGATGCAGTTCCTCCAGAGTTATCAGACCTGTTGGAAAGGGGAGAGAGAATGCCAAGTATTGGAGAGGGGAGAGAGAGCAAAGAGATCACCTTTATGGGTGCAGCCACATTAGCTGCAGCCACATTAAATAAATGGACAGTCGTTACTTCTCAGTTGCCTACAAGCAGGGAATAGCTTTCTGGTTCCTACAATTCTTTCAATTCTCTTCTTATAAAATAACTTGCCATAATATGATAAATGAGTTCTGAGACCTTGTTAGGACCTTCAATAGAGTAAGACCTATGAAAATCTAAAAACAACGCCAGTGTCATCTGAGAAACTATAGATGTTCTCAACATCAAGGCTGTGTCTATTTATAGCCAATGATTTATAACTGGTTTTACATTTTCTTTAACTTCAAAACAGACCTTTGAATGGGCTTATTAAGATAGCAACCACCCGGGCATAGTGGCTCACACCTGTAATCCCAGCACTTTGGGAGGCGGAGGCGAGAGGATTGCCTGAGCCCAGGGATTCAAGACCAGCCTAGGCAACATGGCGAGACCTCATCTCTACAATAAATTAAAAAAAAAAATTAGCTGGGCTTGGTGGTGTGAACCTGTAGTTCCAGCTACTTGGAAGGCTGAGGTGGAAGGATCACTTGAGCCCAGCAGGTCGAGGCTGCGGTGACCATGAGCGTGCCACTGCACTCCAGCCTGGATGACAGAGTAAGGCTGGAGTGCAATAGCAACATTCACAGCCACCACAACCTTGACCTGCAGGACTCATGTGATCCTTCCACCCCAGTCTTCTAAGTAGCTGGGACTACAGGCATGAGCCACCACACCCAGCTAATTTTTTTATTTATTGTAGAGACAAGGTCTCGCCAAATTTTATTTATTGTAGAGACGAGGTCTCGCCAAATTGACGAGGTCTTGAACCCACGAGCTCAGGCAATCTTCTCGCCTCTGCCTCCCGAAGTGCTGGGATTATAGGCATGAGCCACCATGCTCAGCCTAGATGACCGTTCTTAAAGTCATATTTTAGGGAGCACAGAGACACTGTTGGCATTACCATACCTAGGGGAGACACCGCAGGCCTATACGTACTAATGAGAAAATAACCCAGACACACTGTACATCGGGGAAAAGGCTATATCCTACCTCCTCACTATTTTCTGTAACAGCTAGGGGCTAGACCTTCCTGCCACACAGCTTTGGAGAGCAGAGACAACCGTCCAGGTAATTCTGTTTTCCCCTGGCAATGGAGAACCGCCACTGAGTCAACTGCATGAAACAGCTGTTTCTCAAGCCCTTATAGGCCTGGAGACTGCAGGATGGAAACGAGAATCCTTCAAGGTTTTCTCCCTCTTAGAAGTTCAGAGCCCCATCCACAGGTCCAAGCCAGCCTTACCTCCATTCCGGTGCTTCAGCGCCAGGCACACTTCGATAATCTGGACACCCAGTTCATAATAGAAGTCCCCCACGCCGAGCATCTCAGACCAAAATCCTTTTCCAGCTACAAGAAAAACAAAAAGCTCAGTTATTTATGAATGTACATTCTTTCTTTTAAAGCTGAATTAAAACGAGAATCCTGGCCAGGCATGGTGGCTCATGCCTATAATCCCAGCACTGAGAGGAGGAGGTGAGAGGACTGCCTAAGCCCACGGGTTCGAGACCAGCACAGGCAACTTGGCAAGACCTCATCTCTACAATAAATCAAGAAAAATTAGCTGGGCATGGTGGTGCAGGCCTGTAGTTCCAGCTACTTGGAAGGCTGAGGTGGAAGGATCGCCTGAGCCCAGTAGGTCGAGGCTACAGTGGCCATGAGCGTGCCACTGCCCTCCTACTTGGGCAAGAGTGAAACTCCCACTCAAAAAAAATTAAAAAAGGCTGGGCGCAGTGGTTCACGCCTCTAATCCCACCACTTTGGGAGGCCGAGGTGAGAGAATCGCCTGAGTCCACGGGTTCAAGACCGGCCTGGGCAACTTGGCGAGACCTCATCTTCACAATAAATCAAAAAATTAGCCAGGCATGGTGGTGAGTGCCTGTAGTTCCAGCTACTTGGAAGGCTGAGGAGGAAGGATCGCCGGAGCCCAGGAGGTTGAGGCTGTGGTGGCCAGGAGCGTGCCACTGCCCTCCAGCCTGGGAGACAGAGTGAGACTCCAACTCACAAAAATAAATAAATAAATATATAAAAATTAAAAAAATAAAACATCAATCCTATAGGAAGCTTCCCTGCCTAGCCCAGAATCCTTCTGCTACTCAGCATCCCTTGACACAATCTACCTCCTGGTAACTCTTGCTGAAGAATAGGCTCAGACAGTTCCAAAACGTGGGCAACCAATCTAAAAGTCATTTGTCTTTGAGAGATTGAGACAGGGGACTGCTTGAGGCTAGGATTCAAAGCCAGCCTAGGCAACACAGCAAGACTCTGTCTCTATGAAAAAAAATTAGCTGAGCATGATGGCAAAGCCTATATAATCCTAGCTACTTAGGAGACTGAGGTGGAAAGATCACTTGAGCCCAAGAAGTCAAGGTTACAGTGAACTATGGTTGTACCACTACACTCCAGCATCGGTGACAGAGCAAGACCCCTGTTTCTAAAAACTATTTAAATACATAAAAGTTATTTCTACTTGGTAGTTAATTCTGGCTCAGAATATGAAAAAAATGAATTTTCCTTTCCCAAAGCATTCAGTGAAATATAGTGAAAGATATGGTCAAGACTATGTGAAAGAATATGCAGACTGGCATGCAAGAATCCACCAAACAACACATTCTACTGAGTGAAAAATGCAGGTTATGGAGCAGTAATAGTTATAACATAACCCCCGATGTTAAAAAGATTAAAGAGCGGGGGGGGAGGGGGAGGGGATTAACAGTAGCAAATATCTGTCTGGGGCTGGGAAAACACCTCTTATCAACAGGGTGTCTGAATGAAACGTAATTGTACACCTAACCCTTAACTGTACCCCACAAAACTATAATAAAAATACTGATTAATTATTAAAAAAAAAAAAAAAAAAAGATTAAAGAGCCAGGCAGGGTGCCTCACGCCTATAATCCCAGCACTTTGGGAAACTGAGGTGAGAAGATTGCCTAAATCCACGGTTTGAGACCAGCCTAGGCAACTTGGTGAGACCCCCATCTCTACAATAAATCAAAAAAATTAGCTGGGCATGGTGGTGTGTGCCTACTGTTCCATCTATTTGAAAAGTTGAGGCAAAAGGATCACCTGAGCCCAGCAGGCCGGGGCTGCAGTGATTGTGATCGTGCCACTGCCCTCCAGCCTAGACAATAGAGACTCCAACTCAAAAAAAAAAAAAAAAGATTAAAAATGAGAGGAAGGTGTCTAGAAAAATATGCAGTCATGTGTCACTCAATGACAAAGGTACATTCTGAGAAAGGTGCTGTCAGGTGTTTCTGTAAACGTGTGAACATCAGAGCCCGCTTACAGAGACCTAGGTGATCCAGTCTACTACACACCCAGACCATGCGGTACAGCCTACTGCTCCTAGGCTGCAAGCCTGCACAGCAAGTTACTGAAATGAATACTGTAGGCAATAGAACACAACAGTAAGCATGTATGCATATCTAAACATAGAAATGGTGCAGTAAAAATACATTATAGCCGGGCATGGTTGCTCATGCCTATAATCCCAGCACTTTTAGAGGCCGAGGGGAGAGGATTGCCTGAGCCTAGGGGTTTGAGACCAGCCTACGCAACCTGGCAAGACCTCGTCTCTACAATAAATAAAAAAAAATTAACTGGGTATGGTAGCGCATGCCTATGGTTCCAGCTACTTAGAAGATTGAGGCAGAAAGATTGCTTGAGCCCAGGAGGTTGAGGCTGTGGTAGCCATGAGCATGCCACTGCACTCCAGCCTGAGTGACAGAGTGAGACACTGACTCAAAAAAAAAAATACATTATAATCTTCTGGGACCACTGTTGACAGGAAGGTTGTTATGAGGCACATGACTGTACCATAAACTGCCAACAGCACTTATTTTTGCAATTATGGGACAGGGCCAAGAGAATTCCACTCCTTTATACACCTCCTTGTTGACTGACTGCATGATCACATACTACTTATACTAAAATTAAAAGTTTTAATAAAGGGAGAAAATGTCATAGAACATTCTACCGTAGCTCACCTAAAGGAAGACCATGGACACTGGTTGCTCCGGTCTGCACTCTGCCTCTCTATCTGCCCCCTAAGACTGGGCCCTAGCCCGGCTCAGTGGCTCAGCCTGTAATCCTGCGCTTTGGGAGGCTGAGGTGAATGGACTGCCTGAGCCCACGGGTTCGAGATCCGCCTGGGCAAGTTGGTGAGACCTCATCTCTACAATAAATTTTTAAAAATAGCCAGACGTGGTAGCGCGCGCCTATATTTCCAGCTACTTGGAAGGCTGAGGCGGAAGGATCGCCAGAGCCCAGCGGGTCAAGGCTGCGGTGGCTGGGAGCGGCCACTGCACTCCAGTCTGGGCGACAGAGTGAGACTCCAACTCAAAAAAAAGACTGGGCCCTACCCATCCTGCTAGGCACTCCCTAAAGATGACAGCCTCTGAACCTCCCTGAAGGCCCTCTTAGAGGATGCCCCCAACAGGGGTGATGACAACTAGGTGACTTTCTGCTCCTTAGGAACCCAGTAAGAATGCTGGACTCCTAAAGACAACTCCTTACAGGCCAGAGGATCCACCCCAATGGTTGCACACATGTCCTGGAACTGTACACGGAACTCAGGATTCTTCCGGATCTCCTGCTTGTGCTTGCTGGCAAACTCTTCCAGGTTGGTCTTAAACATGTCCAACTGTTTCGACATCTGTTAGATGGACAAGGGGGAGGTTAAGGGTGATAACCAAATGCCTAAAATAGGTCCCTGGCCCAGTGGCAGGGCAAAGGCTGAAATAACCTCTTCTTTCAGGCCCACCATTATGCTGTTTACTATCTCTCTTTTTTTTATCCTCTCTCTCTTTCACAGTTGTGTTCTCAGCAGAAATTAAATACAGTACCAGGTTTCCTCAATTCTAAAATACACATTTTTTTAATGTGTTCCTATTCTAAAATCTGGAGGTATCTAATAATCAACGTGCACACATAATGTGGTGCATCTTTTCTTTTTCCCAGGAAACTTTTATTAAGTTAAAGGTGTTACTGAACTAAACCAATAATCCATTTTCTCTTAGGAATGAAGGAAAGCAGTGTTCCTGCTGTGGAAAATCTTCGACCATGGACAGGGAGGCTGGATGGGAAAAAATGAAGCCTGGTGTGCATTTGTTTAACCTCTGAGTCATGGACCCCCAAGATCAAATCCAGATAAAGACTCCCTCAGGCGGGCATGTAGGTCTACCAGATTGATGGGAATTTTTCTGACTTTTTATTTGTATTACCCCTTCTCTGTTCCTAATCAACAAAGTCCACCTATTACCCCACCAAGAGAAACCACTCCTGGCCCAACATCTCTCTCATTTGCCACATAAAACTTATAAGAAACCTCCACATTCTCTGAATCACCATTTTCAGTTGATTCATGCATGCCATCTCCCCATGACTGGGCGCTTGTGAAGAACACAGCCTGTATCTACCATGTTTCCTCAGTTAAGGGCATGTTTTTGTCCTTAACTGCCTCCTCCTCTTCTTTACTAATCATAGTAACTGGGTAAACTCAGAGCATGGATGGAAAGGGAATTGTTGCAGAAGAGGACTGTACAGGAGCTGACCCACATCTCTCACGCTCTCCTGGAGTGTGCCTAAATGATATGGTGTAATGAGTACCACAGGTTAGACAATATTTTCATTTTATTATAAGGCATTTAAAGTAAAAGCCCAGGCTGGGTGTGGTGGCTCACACCTATAATCCCAGCACTTTGAGATGCTGAGATAAGAGGATTGCCTGAGCCCACAGACTAACCTGGGAAACTTGGCAAGACTTCATCTCCACAATAAATTTCTAGAAAAAATTACCCAGGCGTGGTGACACATGCCAGCTACTTGGAAGGCTGAGGATAAAGATCACCTGAGCCCAGCAGGTCAAAGCTGCGGTGGCCGTGAGCATGCCACTGCACTCCAGCCTGGGTGACAGAGTGAGAGATTCCAACTCAAAAATAAATAAATAGGCCGGGGGCAGTGGCTCAGCCTGTAATCCCAGCACTTTGAGAGGCCAAGGCGAGAGGATTGCCTGAGCCCAGGGCTCGAGACCAGCCTGGGCAATTTGGTGAGACCTTGTCTCTACAATAAATCACAAAAACCAGCCAGGCATAGTAGCATGTGTCTGCAGTTCCAACTACTTGGAAGGCTGAGGCAGATGGATCACCTAAGCCCAGCAGGTCAAGGCTGTGGTGGCTATAAGCATACCGCTGCACACCAGCCTGGGCAACAAGAGTGAGACTCCAAATAAAAAATAAATAAACAAAGTAAAAGCCAGTCTGGTGCAGTGGCTCACGCCTGTAATCCTAGCACTTTGGGAGGCGGAGGCGAGAGAACTGCCTGAGCCTAGGGGATTGAGACCAGCCTAGGCAACTTGACGAGATATTGTCTCTATGATAAATCAAAAAATTAGCTGGGTATGGAAGAATCACCTGAGCCCAGCAAGTAGAGGCTGCAGTGCCATGAGTGTGCCACTGCACTCAAGCCCAGGCAGCAGAGAGAGACTCCAACTCAAATAAAGCAAAAGCCCTAGGCTGAGTATGGTGGCTCATGCCTGTAATCCCACATTTTCAGAGTCCAAGACAGGAGGACTGCTTGAGTCCAAGAGTTCAAGACCAGCCCGGGCAATTTAGCATCTCTATAAAAAAATCAAAAAATTAGCCAGGTGTTGTGGTGTGCACCTGTAGACTCAGCTACTTGGAAGACTGAGGCAGAAGGATCACTAAGCCCCAGACGCTGAGGCTGCAGTGAGCTATGATTGTGCCACTGCACTCAGGCCTGGATGACAGAGCAAGAACTCAACTCAAAAAAAAAAAAAAAAAAAAAAGAAAGAGAGAGAGAGATAGAGAAAGTAAAAGCCACAGGAGGCCTAAGTCAAAAACTGTTCTACTACGTATAACCTTGGATAAATTTTTTTTTTTTTGAGTTGGCATCTCACTCTGTCACCCAGACTGGAGTGCAGTGGCCACT